TCAGTCAGAAATGTATTTTGTGTTCTCTGTTAGGTAAGTGAATTAAAATAGTAAAACAATAGAAGAAGCCACTGAAACAGAAGGCAGAAGCCACCTTTGCTCCACCCACCCCATTCAGAAGTGTTTCCCTTCCTAGTACTAAAAGTGGCTGTGGTTGATTTAACAAGAAAGGCAGCTAGGCTAGGTGAACCCTTGCTGGTGGGAGGACGTGAACTACCGATGCTGAGGAGCGACCTATTCATAAAAAGGGAAGGACAGAAAGGGATTAGATTGTAGTTTACACTAAAACTGAGGCTATGCAGCCTATGTTCAGATTCCCCTGGTTAACTCACATGTCTTCAAACAACAAATGTCTTTGTTTGGATCAGAATCTAAAGAAAGGAATACATGGCATTTAGTTATAGCTTTTAATTTCCTTGATTTAAGCATTTTATGGACATTAAATGCACACCCAGAAAGTGGTCATGCCACAAGTGTACTGCTTCACTAGTACACACCCGTGGAACCAGCCCCAGGTCGGGAACGAGAAGTGGGCAGCACCTTGAGTCTCCACCATGCCCTGCACCCACCCAGGTCAGCTGCCATCCTGACCTCTCCTGGCATGGACTGCTTTAAACGTGTTAAATTGTATGTAAATGGAATCATGCAATATGCATTTTTTCTGTGTCTGCTTACTTGTGAGGTTCCTGAGTGGAGTTTACTCATGCTGCTATGTATAATTCCAGAGCAGGCATTTTTTATGGTACCAGCCTGTAGTTTGCCTGTCTCTGGTTGTAGATGTAAGTGAATCCTCACCCATCAAACCAGCTCCCTGACCCTCCAGACCCGGTCTATGGGGATGGAGCGGCAGACCCATCAGCCAGCCCTTCTCAGATTGCTGCCCCCAAGGCCAGCTGACATTCAAGTCCTGATTAGTCTTGGTGGCCCAGTTCCTCCTGCCCTTCGCAAGCCGGCCTCTCTTGGGTCCACAGTCCTCCTCCAACACTGGAGACCTCAAAGGACGCTGGGCGTATGCATGTCTTTCACAGCTGCCATAAAACAGTTACCACAAATTTAGTAACTCAACATGTCAGAAGCTTATTCTCAAACATGTTTTAAAGGCCAGAAATTCAAAGCCATGTATCAGCAGCATTGCTGCCTTCTAGAGGCTCAGAGGGAGAATCCATGCCACATATGAGATCTGCTGGCAGCCTCAGGCTTCAGCCCCTGCCTCCTCCCCCTCCAGGCCTTCCCTCCCATGCCCATGCTCCCTCTCCATTCTAGGGCCAGCAGCTACTGGGCTTAGGACCCACCCTAGCCCAGGATGATTTCACTACAGGAGCCTGTCTTCTCTTAAAAGTAAATAATTCTATTTGTGTACTTTCAAAAATATAATTGTATTTATTTATTACTTTCCCCTTTTATTAGTTTATGTTTGCAGTACATAATAAATATGTTCATCATGGAACGGTTCACACCTTGATCCTTTTTATTTCTCCTTCCTCTTCCTCTTTCCCATTTCCCCCATCCCAGATCCCTTTCCCATCTCCACAGAGTCCCTGTTTCCTCTCATTTATCTTTCTTTTTCAAGAACCTGATCTTAGTTCTACCTATAATGATCATTCCCAAGAAGGTCCCATTCTGAAACTCTGGCTAGACGCTTCTTTTAGGGAGCACAATTCAATACAATGTACAGGATGAAGAATCTCCTGGGATGTACACACTGAACCCAAATAACCTAACTGAAGTGGGAAAGCATGGTTCTGCTAAGAGGACCAGCTCCTGGGAGTCACCTGTTCTCCAGGCTGAGCCATGAGACTGAGTCCTTTGAGCACCTGCTAAGTACCAGGCCATGAGCCAGGAGCTGTGGACTGTGATAAGGGAACCTCAGCTTCTCTCTTGAGGCAGATTGCCAACCAAGAGGGAAAAAAAGGCTTGAAGGAGCAGCGGTTCCCCATGAGGGTGACTTTGCCTCCAGAGACTGTCTGGCCACATATGGAGACTTTTTCTTTACTGTCATGGGTGGAGTGTGTTTGACATCTAGAGGGCACAAGCCAGGGATAGTACTAAACATCCTCCTAGACAAACATCCTACAATTGTTTTGTCCCCTATGGCAATTAATTAGCCACTCCAAAATGCCAACAGTTCCTCTGTTGAGAAGTCTTGCTACTCACACACACTCACACAAACAAGAATCTTGCTGATACTCCCAGAGCCCAGGAGCCCAGGGATCCAGTGGTGACCCCACAGCCAGTCAACACTTCCTCTTCTGGAGGCTGGAGACCCTTCACGCTCAGAGGGCCAGGGCCACTGACAGAGCAAACCTTTCCCACCTAGCCTCGCTCTCTTCTCAAGCACAACTGAGAACCGTTCATCCCAACTCCTCCATAATGCCCACCTGGGTCTTCACTGCCAAATTCTAGACACAGCTGCCCTGGATAGAGACCCTGCTGAAGATGACCTAGCTTCCATGTGTGATAGTAGCATGCAATAAGGAACTTCAGGCTTCCTAATACACTCTGTGATCCCTTCCCCACCACCCATGCCCCTAGGAGAGACCATGTTCTATATAGCAACATAATTTATGTAAATATACCACACTGGAGAAAAAGGAAGCTAACATCCGTGTGCCTGTGGTTACAAAACCTTTGGAAGCAGAGAGCCAGATAGCCTCTCTTGGTATAAGTGTGTCTGACTGTGAACAGCTGACTTCGGGAAGCACTGGTACTCTGTAACTGCTGGTTCCAGACAGTGGAGCATTGTGCTTTGGGAATGTTGGGAAATGAACCCAGGGGTCAACAAAAATGCAACCCCCTGCCCCATATCTGAGTCTGACTCTGGCCCCATATCCAGGGATGGAGAGGGCAATTCATTCAGACTGTGCAAACTAACCCTGCTTCCCCAATAAACTTCCCTATGGAAAGAAATCTCTTGAATCTCACCCCCTACCAAAAGGCACATCTGTAAATGCAGATGTGAGTGGGCCTGGGATGGTCACCAAGGAGGCACCAGGCTCCTGCAAGGGGCAATGCAACTTGCACAGGCGGGGCAAGTCCTAAGTGTGTCCTAAGTGACCAGCACAAAGGAGAGGAAGTAAAGGAAGCTGTTCATTTACTTACTCATTCAAAGATACACAGAATCTCACGGGTGTGAAGCACTGTGCCAGACACTTGATGACAACTCAGATATCAGTCAGAGAAGTGACTTGGGGAAAACCTCCAGGCAGGGGTCCAGGCCTTCTCGGTCTTTCCTTCCTTCAAAGAAAGCCTGTCTCCAGGAGTGTATCTAATACAGTCATTCACGTCCTATTGCCTTATATACATAGACAATGTACTTGAAGCCATATTTTTAATTATCAAATAAAGGGTTTAACCTCATGTTAAAAGAGTTCAAGAAGGCGCAGGTCTGGCAGGCTGCAGTGTCTCTAAGCAGTTGTGAACTGCTCCACATAGATGCCGTCTACATCCCCCGAGACAAGGGAACCCCTGTGACTGAGAGGTAAAGAGTTTGAGAACAGAAATTAGAAGAGGCAGCCCCTGAGCTAGACTCCATTCTTATAGGACTAAGAATGCTGGATGAGTCTATTTTCCATTGTTATAACTGGAATATCATTGTCCTGGGCCTACAAAGCCCTCAAAATCCCAGCTGCGCTAAACAGTGTCCCTAAGCAGACACACTGTGTGGAGTTCTAAGCACAAAAGATACTCCATGCTCTAATAATTCCTTCTCCTGTGCTCTTAAACAAGTTCTGCACCTCCTTGGGCCCCAGAATTCTGTCTGTAAAATTGGGCTAAAGCTTAATGTACCGTTCTGATTGAAATATATCAACTTGATAGTTGAATGCAGTGCTTGGCAAACACACACGCAGAAAATGTCACTATTCCAATAGGGATGTGATACCACTTATGGAGGTTTTGCAATGTGCTAGTCACATTGATTCAATGCATCACACGCTTAAACTTTAATTCTTTCAAAGCTCCTGTGAAAACAGCAATATTATTAATATTCTCTTTTTATATATAAGAAAAATAAGTCACAGAGAGGTTAAGTAACTCCCTCAAGATAGCGTAGTTAATGTAAAGATCTCAAGTTCCTTTGGTCAGTAAGTTATGAGGTAATTGTATGCTAATAATTTCAACTTTGGGGCTATATTTTACTGAGGCTGAGCAAGTGTTTCATTCATCATTTTGCCTTTCTTGAAAATTTTGGTTCATTCAGCTACTTGAGTGTAATTCAGAACAATTTGGTTAAGTACAATTTTTCCTTATCTTCTGAATACTTTCCTGAATACTTGTTTTGGTTTGCTTGACAGTCTCTGAAAGTCTATCTTTTGGGTACCATGTACAGTGTTTTGATATTTATGTTTTAATGACACATAAGGATTTCAAATTTATAGTAAATATAGAATTCGTTTCCAGGGAATACATTCAAGAAAAACATCACACAGTAGATCGGGCCTGAGTTTGAGTCTCAAAATGAGGTGTCACTCAATAAACTGTAGCTAAGGGCTGGGGAAGTAGCTCAGCAGTCTAACTTTCTGCCTGGCAATTGCAAAGACCTGCGATCAGTCCCTGGTACCACATGCTGTGCCAGCCCCACCCAGGGTGCTGAGCCAGTCACTGAAACAGGGCATGGTGGTACATGTCTATAATCCCAGCACTGGGGAGGCTAGGACAGGAGGATCACTATGAGTATGAGCTCTATAGTAAGACCACATACCAAATAAATACATAAAATATTAAAAATAATAATAATAAATTAAATAAACTGTGGTTGTTATTTGGTTTTTTTGTTTTGCTTTGTTTTTTCGGCAGAACCGGGCATTGAACTCAGGCCTTTGCACTTGCCAGGGAAGCACTTATTCTACTGAGCCATTTTCCTGGCCCCTACTATTCCTTGGTTTAAACAATGACATTGTTTGATTAGAATGACATAATATTTATCTCTTATGAGAAACAGCAAATACATCAGCTTGGATGGCATGTTATTTATGTGGGGTTTTATCTGGTTTTCCTTGTAGCTCCAGCACAAAAACCCTGTGTTACTCTCCACTGAGAGCCCAGCTGGAAACAGATGCTGAATACACAAAAGGTGCGTGAAGATTCCTTTTGGTCTCACCCTTGATTCTGTCGCCAGTGCTACGTGCCTGGTCCTAAACAGCTTTGATGATGGAAGAGCTCCCTAAGGCCCTGGAAGTCGATGAGAGGTCCCCAGAATTCAAGGACCTGCTGCCCAGCCAGACTGCCAGCTCCCTGTGCATCAGCTCCAGAAGCGAGTCCATCTGGACCACCACCCCCAAGAGCAACTGGGAGGTCTATCGCAAGCCCATCACCATCATGTCTGTGGGCACTGCCATCTTGCTCTTCGGTGTGGTCATCACCTGCTTGGCCTATCTCCTAGAAATGACTCCAGAGACCGAGGGTGTCCTCAAGATGATAGGGCCTGCTTTTCTGTCCTTGGGACTGATGACACTGGTATGTGGGCTGGTGTGGGTGCCCATCATCAAAAAGAAGCAGAAGCAGAGGCAGAAGTCAAATTTCTTTCAGAGCCTCAAGTTCTTCCTCCTGCATCGTTGATGGCAGCTTGACTAGGAGAAGGAGATACAATGACCAACATCCAACAGCCCCACCTTCTCCATGGGGTACCACAAAGCTAAATACAGGCAAACTCTCGTCTTGGTCCATGCAGCCTGGGAATGTTGCTTAATGAATCTTGCTTGGTTTCTGTTCCACCAAGGGTTCCCTTAGATCCTTGTGTTGCTCTCATCCTGTGCTCCTTTTTTCCAATCATCATTCATCGAACTCTTTGCCAAGTGCAGTGCATGCTGGGAAACTCCTTGAGGGTGGGCTATGCTCCAAGGAGAACCTCATGTTTATACATCTGGTTGTCTGAAATGGGTTCTACATTTATATCCTTCTGAAACCAAACTTGATCGATGGAAGTTCTTCACAGAGAAGAAGGAAAGCTGTGCTCCGACCCCAGTGTTACACAGCCCCACCTTCCTTAGCCAGTGAAATACTGCCTTACATTTCAAGACACCAGAGATTCACAAGCATCAAAATTTATAAGTATCAAACATTCCAAAAACTGAACAATGAAGGTTGCTTGGGAAAGCACTGTCCAAGGTGGCACATCTCCCTGGACATGCCCTAGGAATCTGGCAGCTGAAGAAGTTCATTTCAGATTCCATATTACTTACATCGGATGCAATAGGGTAGGCTGGAGGTGAGGGGTGTCGGCTATCCCTTTGATCTACAAACCTCCTGATTAGTGACTGCTCTTTCCTTGGCAATTAGCAAAGGACAAATGCATGATGTCCTAGCTTCCTCTTCCATTTCCCTCTTACCTCTACCCTGATTTCTAGAACAGCAAGATGGAAAGCTACAAAGGAGTTCTGTGCCACTATTCTCCCTTTCATTTCCATCAATATCCACACTGGAAGATCAATGTTATGTACAATGGTTTGTAAGTTTCTAATGAAATGGATTTTTTTTTTTTTGAACTGGGAATTGAACTACTCAGGCCCTTGTGCTTGCCAGGCAAGCCCTTATTCTCCTGAGCTATCTTCCCGGCCCCAGTGGATTCATTTTTAAAGTTCTAACTTCTGTTATCCCTGTCCTTGCCTACCAAGCAAACAAGTATTTATGAAGTACCCTGCTCTTGGCTAAATACTGGGGTAAGACGAGGCCAGACAGTCCCTTTTCTCATCATGCCTCCCAAAGAGAGAGGCACAGGCAAAGAAAACGGCAACTGGAAAGTCCTGCGCTGAGTTAGTGTGCTGGTCATGGGAACACAGATATCTAGCTCAAACTTGAAAGAGGGTTTCCAGGAGGCCATGTCATTCAAACTGAGTAACAAAGGAAAGGTAAGATTTAACAAAGAGGGGAAAGGAAGTATATCAGAGATGCCTGGAGCATCCTTGCATATGCAGAAGCTGAGGGGAGAGGGAGAACGTGATAAGATCAGGAATTGTCACGGCCTCTGCCCTGAACTCCAAGATGTTCTGTTTCATCCCCTCTTGTCCCGCTTCATACCTGAGGCTCCAAGTGCCTTATGTGTAGTTTGTCTTGGGGCACTCTATGGACACCCACTGAGGCTGAAGTGGGGTTTCCTGAGGGCCCACAAAGCAGAGAACCCACAAGGTAAGTGCTCAAAAGCTTTAGCAACCAAGAGGCTGTTATATGAAGAGATTCCTGGAAGAGAGCTACCCAGGCTGTCCCAGACCAGGCCAGAGGCCCAGAGGAGAGAATCTGAGAATGAGGTGAGAGAGAAGAGCTGCTTGTGCTGAACTGACTCCTTTTACTCCTCAGCCTGTTCAAACTCCCCACTCATCCTGGCAACCTCTCTCCAACAGGCCTGCAGGCATCTCCATTCCTCACAACAGCTCCATATACAGAGTCAGAATCCACTGACTGCATTGGGACAAGTTCCTTGGAGATGTTACTTGTTTCCTGGGGATACCCCCTGCCTCCCTACCTAAGAAAACAGAGTTGGTTTCATAGATATTTGCTTGCTTGGTAGCCTCTCAGGTCCACCGAGGATAGTCCGTCCTTGAGAGCCATGTCAGTGTGGCCCGGTACTCTCGTCTCCCACTTCCCTACACATGGGCAGATCAAGATCCATTCAAGGTTTCTGCAAATGCTGCCTCACTAATCAAAGCCCTAGGGACTCACACAGAAGGGCTTGAGGATCATTTCCCTTTCTTCTGAGATGAGCACAGGTTGCAAATCAGTCCTTTAATATGCTTGTGACCCCTTTAATGGCTACCAGCAGGCCTGCCTGGGGCGCACACCACCTGCACCTCTCCTCATCCACCTAAAAGCTGTAGTCTGGGCACAGGTGTGGGTGGGGCAGCTTTGCAGATGTTCCTATCAAGCATGTCTTCGTAGGAAGAAATTTGGGGGCAACCACAATTCTAGAAGATGTTCAAGTTTTGGAATACCGCTGCAGTCTCCAGAAATACCTGCCTCCATTCCCCTTTCCCATGTCAGATTCTAAGCAGAGAAACAGGAGAAAAAGCTTACAAGGAAAGATACCCCCCAAGTGTCATTCCCACAGCTGGGAATGACAGATTTCCTCACATGAGTGGGGGCCATGGAACATGCCAGGATCACCCTGAGACGAGACACTGCAGAGATTTTGCCTAAGTCAATTGTCCCATGAAAGCCTAAGAACTGACCTAATTTGTGAGTGCAGCCAAACTGGCTGTCACAGTTCTGCAGAAAAGCAGCCCCTGCAATGACCCCAACAGTGCCCCTGGATCAGAAGATGGGACCAGAATCCCTATCTTCAGCTCCCTGAGTTGTAGCTCTGTCCCACTCACCATAGCTGTTCTGTTTTGGAAAATCTAGTCTCATCTGAAACCTAAAGGAACTGATGTCATATGGAATTACGTTCTATTTAACAGTGTCTGCTGTGTTTTCACTCTATCCCAACAAGAACAATGTCAAGACTATTCACTAGTTCTCCTCTTCTCTAAAGTACCCCATCATATACCCATGTTCCTTTCCCCCAGAACATTGCCTGTATACTTTCTGGAAACAAGCCTCTGACTCTTTCCATCCCTACAAACCCAGTATTGAGGCCAAACATGTGACACAGAAACAGAGCCTTCTGGAAATGAATCAGTGGTCCAGGCAAGGAAGGCAGCTGCTCCAGGTTCAATTTATTGATGTCTCAGATTGGGAGAGATGCTCCCAATGCAAACCTAAGTAAATAATCTCCCATCAGGACCCTACCTTTGTCCCTAGGCCCAGAGCACCGAGCTTGTGCTCTGAGTACCTACAGGGATACCCAGCTCTTGTTGGAAGTTTCCTCCTGTACAGACTCACACAGCCTCTATCTGCTGGCCAGCTGAGACCTGGCACTGGCATATGCCAGTCTCCCAGAGGAGGACTGCTATGTGTGCAGTACTATGCTCGCTTCCCCCTTGGCCTACAGGTGCTGCTGGAGGGACCCAGGCCACCGCCCAGTACAGGTCTCCTGCTCCAAGGAGAAGAAGTTCCACCCAAACTCACCCAATAAGACCATCTCCTCTTGCCCTGCAAGGTCCTCTGGCAAAACCACTGAAATGGTTACAAAGAGGAAGAGGGAAGAAGTTGCCAGTGATCACTCCAGGAACCACATAGACTAAGTTGGGTTCATATTCAATAAATGAAAAACTGTCCATGAAGGTCGTGGTCATCCTCTTGTGGGACTGTGGGGGAAGGAGACCTGAGAAGCAGGAGAGAAGTGTGGTTCTGTTGTGGCAACAGCCATGTGGCCAGCCCAGGGCCCAGGCCCCAGGGCTTCCTGTCCCTGATCCCCTCCTTCAGTGGGGCCTCTGGAGTATTCCCTCAAAAGGTGTAACCTTGTTAGCTTGATACATCAGCTCCCTGGGAATCTGCCATGTGCCAGACTTCAGCACTGGGGATATAGTGATGCAGGTGTGAGCTATCACCTCAGAAAGCAGTCAGACTGGTCCCCAGAGGAGAAAGACAAAGAAGTCATGTCATGTGACAAGGTCGGATCCAGACAGAGGGAAGCAGGACTTCTTAGAGGATGGCACCCAAGCCATTCGGGCCCCAACCTGCCTCTTGGTCATCTGGAGTAGAGGCTGGACTTTCATGTGAGGGCTGAGGTAGAAGGAAGAGGAGCAGGCCAGTGATGAAAGACTGGGGGGCAGCCTGCCAGAAACAACACCCCTCAGATTATCATCACGCCTCCATTTCTCAGTCTTGCTTTTCTGTCTTTCTCTATAACCTGTTCATCATCATAGTCTTTCTTCAGTGGTGCCAGAGAGGTGCCACATTGGAGGGCCCACATCAGAGGTCCCACATATGCTAGGGAGACTGTCAGTGGTGTCCCTGCACTGCCCTGAGCTGTGGCTATCAAAAAATAGCAGTGCCTTCTCCCAAAATGTTAGTCTCATGGAGACTCCTCCTTCAACCTCATCTCTTCCTTGTTCTAAACACTTCTCCACATGCTTTCTGTCATGCAATGGCCTCTTTTCTTCTCTGTGTATTGATGTGCCCCCAAACCATCCCCAAGCAGATAACTGCCTACCAACCACTGCAGTCACTTCCTAATAATGGTTATTTAAAAAAGAATTCAACATGAATTCAGTAGTGTAAAGGTGCACACATTTATCATCTTACTGATCTAGAGGTTAAAAATCCAAAGTGAATCTCAGAAGATGAAACACAAAGAGTAGTCAGGGTGACATTCATTCTAAGGGACACAGAGAAGAATCTATTCCTTGCTTTTTCCAGTCAGTAGAAGCTGACTGCATTCCTTGGTTGGTAGCTTCCTTCCATCTCAAACCAGCAATCTAACTAGGCTAGTCTCTTTGTGCATCATCTCCTTCTCTGGCCATCTTGACTCTTCCGTCACCTGTAAAACCCATTATACTGGGCTTTATTGGGGGCTCTTATACTGAGAGTTTATATAGGTTTCCATGGATAATCCAGGATAATCTCCCAATCTCAAGACCTTGTATGAGTTTGCTAGGGCTGTTGTAGCAAAGTATCACTGACTGATGGCTTAAACAGGAAAATTTTATTTTCTCATAGTTTTGGAGTCCAGCATTAAGGTGACAGAAAGTTTGATTTCTTCTGAGGTCTCTCTGTTTGGTTTGTAGGTGCCATCTCCTCCATGTTCATGTGGTCCTGCCTCTGTGCAGGTCTGTGTCCTAACTTCATTTTCTCCAAGAGACACCAGTCAGATGGGGTTACAGCCCACCACATGACCTCCTCTTAACTGAATTGCCAGGTTGAAAAACCTGTCTTCAGATGCAGCCACACAGGGACTGGGGAAATAGCGCTTCCCCCAGTCCTGCATTAAAAAAAAAAAAAAAAAAAAAAGCAGCCACATTCTGAATTGCTTAGTGTGCTTCCCCCTCTCCTTCAAGCCCAGCGGCTCACTTTTCTTGCTTGCTATATGGTTCCCAACTTACAATGGTTTGATTTAGTATGATTAGACTTAACATTGAAAGGGGGGGAAATGCATTCAGAAGAGTCATACTTGAAATTTTGCAGCTGGAATTCCCAGGCCAGTGATAGGAGGTACACACTTCAGGCTGGCCTTGAACTCACTTTGTAGTCCAGTCTTGCCTTGAACTCTTAATGATTCTCCTGTCTCAGCCACCTGAGTGTTGGGATTACAGGCAGGTACCACCAGCCCTGACCAACAGGTATCCATTTTTGAGCAACAACAAAAACAATGCAATGCAACATTTGGACAACTAGTGGCTTATTCAGACCTGTAACATTATGGCATTTATTCCAGCTCTAAAGACCCAGACTAATTCACATGTGCACATTTTCATTGAGAAGTTTGCTCAGAATCCACATAAATAAGAACCTCACAAAATTCAAGAGCCTCAAATAAATCATCTTGGAACAGAAGCCACCCTCTTCTAGTGTTTATTCACTGGGAAGAGGGAAGAAAGGCCCATTGAAGGTTCCTACAGTCAACTCCCGTCTGCTGGGAGAAGGGTGTGGCTGCTTTCTGGGT